AGATGCTTCAGTCTCTTCTTTCTGTCTCTGTTGCTGTGGGTTGGGGAACTCTGCATAGGGTTAAGACTCCTCCCTCCTAGGGGAAGGGAGTTCCGCAGCCACAATATCTCTCCAACTTCTCAGCTGCCACTGTACCTGTGTGTGTGTGTGGCGGGGGGGGGGATTTCCCTTCCTGCTTCTCAACCATTCTTAACAGTGTCTGTATAGCATCTTCTGTACTTTTTGGTTATAATATTAGCTAGCTTTTAGTTAGTTTAAGTTGATTGCTCTGCAATTTAGCTGTAAATCCAGTTTGGGGCTGGGAGCAAGTGAATGCAGCTTCCATCTACTTTGCAGCCATTCTGGAGTCCCCTTTATTGATCTAGCAAACATTTATTAAACACTTTCTATAGGGTAGACACTATGCCACAGTATACAGTGGGGAGCTAAAGACCACATTTTTTTTTTGCCCCTCATGGCCTTCTGTAATTTAGTCATGTACACAGAAAAGTAGAAAATAGACTGGTATGTGTGATTATAACATGATACCATGAAAGCAGAGGAGGAATCTTAACTCTCCTTAGAGGAATGAGTAAAATATTCTTGGTGGATGTAAGATGCCACTTGTCTTGAAAAATAAATAGGAATTCACCAGGCAGAATAAGTCCATGGGACTATGAATAACATGCAGAGGTAGGAAGTGTGAGAGACAATGTGGGAAAGTGCATGTTGGAGTCCAGAGTCCTATGTTTATACTGTTGCAAAAAAAAATTGGTCTGGATCCTGAAGAACTGTATTTCTTCATGTAAAACATGTAGAGAGTTTGGACTTTATCCTTTAGACAGTGGGATACACTAGCACAGTACTAACCAGTAGAAATGAAAAGCAAGCCACGTATTTAATTTTAGATTTTATAGGAGCCATATTGAAAAAGAAATCATATGAACTAATATTAAGAATACATTTTAATTAACGAGCAGAAATATTTCAAAATGTAATCAATGTAAAATATTATTAATTAAGTATTCTGCATATTGGGGAGTCTTCAAAATCTTGTATGTTTTATACTTAACCATACTTCTCAATTCAGACTAACCACACGTGGCGGTACCTAACTATAATGGACAGTGAAATCCAATAATATTTTAAGTGGGAAAATAATTGCTTCAGATTTGCATTATAAAAAGAATGAAGTGGAGCTAGACAGGAAATTAGGTACATTAATTAAAAAGATGATGAAGGCCTGGAATTATGGAGATGGGTTAGGAGAACATGGAATTAAGAGATACTTAATAACTATGTGTGAGAACCTAAATTTTGCCTTAATAGATTTTACAGCAAGTATTTTGACTATTTTTTGCCTGGATGTTTCATAAATACTTCAAGCTCATCCTAGCCAATATGTCCAGTATTTTCCCTGATGACCTATTTCTTTATCAGTGGTCACCATCCCACTCCCTGTTATTCTACACATCCAATCAATGACCAAATAGTATGGATTCCACCTTCAAAGTATCTCTTGACTTGACTTATTTCTATCTCAACTATTAACACTTACTAGAATAGGCTCCCCTGAGGAAATCCCCCATAGTATTCTTTATAGCTCGTTTGTAACATTCATCACAGTTATGTGTCCAGTTTCTTAGAATCTCTTTTTTTAAAATATATTTTATTGATTATGCTATTACAGTTGTCTCATTTCCCTCCCTTCATTCCCCTCCACCCTGCAAACCCCCTCCCACCCCCCTTAGTTCATGTCCATGTGTCATACATATAACTTCTTTGGCTTCTACTTCTCCCATACTATTCTTACCCTCCCCCTGTCTATATTCTACCTACCATCTATGCTAATTGTTCTCTGTACCTTTTCCCCTCTCTCTCCCTCTATTCCACTGCTGATAACCCTCCATGTGATCTCCACTTCTGTGGTTCTATTCCTGTTCTAGTTGTTTGCTTACTTTCTTTTTGTTTTTGTTTTAGGTGTGGTTATTAGGTATAATAATTGTGAGTTTGCTGTCATTTTACTGAACATGTTTTTCATCTTCTTTTTCTTAGTTGGCCCCTTTAACATTTCATATAAAAAGGGCTTGGTGATGATGAACTCCTTTAACTTGACCTTATCTGAGAAGCACTTTATTTGCCCTTCCATTCTAAATGAAAGCTCTGCTGGATAGAGCAATCTTGGATGTACGTCCTTGCCTTTCATGACTTGGAATACTTATCTCCAGCCCCTTCATACCTGCAAGGTCTCTTTTGAGAAATCAGCTGACAGTTTGATGGGAATTCCTTTGTAGGTAACTGCCTCCTTATCTCTTGCTGCTTCTAGGATTCTCTCCTTCATTTTAATCTTGGCTAATGTAATTATGATGTGCCTTGGTGTGTTCCTCCTTGGGTCCAACCTCTTTGGGACTCTCTGAGCTTCCTGGACTTCCTGGAAGTCTATTTCCTTTGCCAGAATGGGGAAGTTCTCCTTTATTATTTGTTCAGATAACTTTTCCACTTCTTGGTCTTCCTCTTCCCCTTCTGGTACCCCTGTAATTCGGATGTTGGAAGGTTTCAAGATGTCCTGGAGGTCCCTAAGCCTCTCCTCATTTTTTTGAAGTTTTGTTTCTTCATTCTTTTCTGTTTAGTTGTTTCTTTCTTCCTTCTGGTCCACTCCATTGATTTGAGTCCCAGTTTTTTTTCCATCACTATTGGTTCCTGTACATTTTCCTTTATTTCACTTAGCATAGCCTTCATTTTTTCATCTAATTTGTGACCAAATTCAACCAATTCTGTGAGATCCTGATCACCAGTGCTTTGAATTGTGCATCTGGTAAGTTGTTTATCTCTTTGATGCTTAGTTGTATTTTTTCTGGAACTTTGATCTGTTTTTTCATTTGGGCCTTTTTTTTTTTTTTTGACAAGCCTGTTATGTAGTGAGGGACGGAGCCTTAGGTGTTCACCTGGGCAGGGCAACCCAGTTGCTGTCTTGTGACACTGTATGTGGGGCAGGGGTCTGTGAGAGAGCAATGGTGCTTGCTGTGCTCTCTGTTGGATTTCAATCATTTCCTCCACTTCCCTCAAGCAAACTGGGCCCTTCTGGTGCTGATTCCCATGTGGGTAGGTTTGTGTACATTCTAGGATCCTGTGGGTCTCTCCAATGAACTCTCCTGTGAGGCTGGGGGTCTCTCCCACTGCCACCTCGACACCCACAGGTGTTTTCAATTGGTGTTTTGAGGCTTTATTTCCCCACATTGGGACCCTGGGTTGCTCCCCAGTTTCTCCTGGTTTATCTGCCAACAAATGTGGGGCCGCCAGGTTCCACAAGCAACCTTGTATCCTGTGACCCTCCACAATCTGCCGCCTCGCTGGGTCTGCCCACTGCCACCTCTGTGCCCAGGGTCCACCAGCCACTACTTTTTTTTGCCTCAACCTCTCTTCCCGCCACCTCCCAGCTCCGGCCCTCCTACTGGACTGGATGAATGTGTCTACTTTAACTCCTTGGTTGTCTCGGACTTCCATACAGTTCAGTTTTCTGTCAGTACTGGTTGTTACTTTGTTTCTAAGTTTTTGTTGACCTTATTTTGGTTGTGTGAGAAGGCACAGTGTGTCTGCCTATGCCCCCATTGTGGCCAGAAGTCTCCAGTTTCTTAGAATCTCTTGATTATTAGGTTCTCAAGGACAGAGATTCTCTGTCTTATTTACAGCTATATTCCTAGCATCTAGCATAGTGCCTGGCCTATGGTTGGAACTCCTACTGGTATTTCTATGAATGCTCAGCAGGCCTTGGCTTATAATCTGGTTGTTCTCAACTACTTTGTGGAGAATTTAAGTTTTCAGTTAAGTTATCTACAGTGTATGTACTTAATATGGTAAATTAGAAAGATATAGGTTTGGAGTCAGGCATTCTGGGCTTAAATTTCCGTCTGTGTTGATTAAATGAAATAATACATATAGAACTGAGCGTGTTGTTGGACATTTAGTAAGTACTCAAGACTAATTTATGTATTAATATGATAGTATTTTATTTGTAAGCTTCTGTTGGCTTATTATAACTGATTTTTGTCAAGCTGCTATAGTAATGAGTCTGTTGATACTATCACATGAGTAATTATGATATATTGAAATGTAGTGAGGTTTATTATAGCATATTCCAAGCTATTGTAAACAGTTATGATTTATAAAATATTTCACTCTAATAATTGACAAAGCATTCACATTAATACCTAAAATGCCATTGACCATGAGAGCCATTGAGGTAAGAAGTCCTATGATAATATATAAGGGCTCAATTATTGAAGACTATAGATAAGTGAATGTTTTATTTTCTAGATATATCACAATGGCACATTTTTAGCACAAGAACAGAAATTGTTCAAAATATATTTTAAATTTCTGGCTTGATAACCAGTACCACAGCACAGAGCATATAAGAAATTAACAATCATTTACTGAGTATCTGTTATGTATGAAACTCTCTAATAGGTATACTGTAAGGGATAAAAAAGAATAAGTCATGGTTTCTGTTATACAGAATCTTATAACCTGTTCCAGGAAAGATGTTTGAATCAAGTGAAACTATGTGAATTATACAAGCTAGTATTTAATTAACTGCTAAAACCAATGTCTTCCTTGAGATTATATGTTAGAGAGATGATAAGCCTTTCTGAAATTTAACTTTGACAAGACCATACTGCAGTAGGAGGGTCTAATATTTATTTTCACTGTCAAAATGTATTTTTATTTATTTTTTATTGTTGTTCAAGTACAGTTGTCTCCATTTTCTCCCCACCACTCCCCCCCACCCTAGCCATCCCAACCTCCCACCCTGTATCCTAACCCCCCTTTGGTTTTGTCTGTGTGTTGTTTATACATGTTCCTTGACACCTTTTCCCCCTAAGATTGTACTTTTTGATGGTTCAGTTTCATAGAAGTTAAGTGTATTATATATTTTGTACAAAATTGAATGTATTAAGTATGGTACTAAGCTGCCTTTTCAGAATGTTGGAAATAGCTTTGTTGTTTTCTCCCTCTCGCAGGAAAATTGTGATGGGACAGGTATGATGTACTTCATAGGATGTGGTTATAATGCTTTTCCTGTTGGATCTGAGTATGCTGACTTCCCCAATATGGATGACAAACAGAAAGACAGAGAAATAAGGAAATTTAGATACATTGTCCATGCGGAACAGAATGCCTTGACATTTAGGTATGAAATTCATTTGCACACATTTCTTTGAAATGTAACAAGGGTTATTGAAATTTTCTTTTTTTTTTTTTGTTTTGTTTGTTTATTTTTAGTTTTGCAGCTTTATTCCAGCCTTCCAGCTTTGTTCATACTTGATTTTTGCTGCCTGACCTCAGGCCGTTATCAGAGATCCTATGAGCCTTCAGATTTATTGAGCAATCTTTTTTCCCCTTTCTCCTTTGCTCTCCAATATAAAACTGCATGAAGTATGTCCTTAGGGTCTTGTATATTTCTGGAATGTAAGCTCTCCTTTGTTTTCTAAATCAAAAGTACATATTTTATATTTATGAATATACAGATTTTATTAAATTGGTTTAACATAGTTTTTGTTAGAGATTGTAACTGGAATTGCCTCCTATATTGTTAATTTAGATTATTTTCACTAACATTTCTCAGCCTTAACCATTATGGGGGTGACTTTAGGGTATTCAAAACTGATTAAAATATGCTCCTGACCTCTGGAGCTTATAATATAGTAGGGGATATAACAGGGCGTTCAACCTAATGTAATTGGTTGTGTGGGAAAAGCCAACACAAGTGCTGTGAAGGGCTGCTATGGATGGAGTGGGAGTGGGAGGGAAAAGCTTTATGGAGAAACTAGAATTCAAGCTGATCTTTAAAGGATTGGTAGGATGGTGGCAATTGAATATACTCGTGGGGAAGTCATTCTAGCTTCAGACATAGCAGTGGTCTAGAAGTAGGCAAACTGTGTGTAGGAACATGCATGTTGTAATTAGGCTGAACCATGGAATAGCTGGGACTAGATTGGGACTGTATAGGGAAGACTGTGAGGTTACATTTCATTTGGTAGTTAGTATGGAAATGGAACAGCATTACCAGAGCCACACTACTGATTGCTTAGGTTGTGGGTATATTGTTTGAATAGACTAGGTGCATAAAATTATGTTGCCGTAGTCCAGGTGAATGGAGTAAGAGTCTGATCTAGAGAGATGAATATGGAAGGCTAGAGGTGATGTAAGACAGCTGACTCTGAGCAGAGTAAACTATAAATCCAGGAAGTACAGCCCCTGTAGCCTCAGAAGAGAGTATCCATTAGTCCTACACTACCCCCATCAAACAACTCCTTTCTCTTTTCTTTGTGCTCCTCATTACTGATATACTTGCTTCATTTTGTATGGAAATATGGATCATTTGTTAAATGTTAAATAAAATCATCCTGTGTTAGAGAGGGTATAAGGGAATTATAACCCGATCCAAAACTTTAATATTAATTTATCAATTTAGTTAGCATTTATTAAATAAATGCTACTCCATTAAATAAAGGGGTAGATCTTTTGGCTCCCATGATAAATTAATCTCTAATCATACTTCGTAAACTTCTTTATTTAAATTATTTTATTGTTGTTATAATTACAGTTGCCTGCATTTTCCCCCCACCCCCTGCAAACCCACCTCCCTCCCTTGCTTCCACCCTCCCCCTTGGTTTTGTCCATGTGTCCTTTATAGTAGATTCTGAAAACCCTTCTTTCCACTGTCCCCTCTCCCTCCCCTCAGCCTGTTATTAGATTGTTCTTAATTTCAATCACTCTGGTTATATTTTGTTTGCTTTTTTCATTTATTGCTTATGTTCCAGTTAAAGGTGAAATCATATGGTATTTGTCCCTCACCACCTGGCTTATTTCACTTAGCATAATGCTCTCTAGTTCCATCCATGCTGTTGCAAAGGGTATAAACTCCTTCTTTCTCTCTGCTGTATAGAATTCCATTGTGTAAATGTACCATAGTTTTTTGATCCATTCATTTGTTGATGGGCACTTAGGTTGCTTCCAGCACTTGGCTATTGTAAATTGTGCTGCTATGAACATTGGGGTTCATAGGTTCTTTTGGATTGGTGTTTCAGGGCCCTTAGGGTATAATCCCAGCAACGGAATTGCTGGGTCAAAAGGCAGTTCCATTTTTACATACTTATAAACTTTTAAGGAGGGTGTTCTCACCCCTAATTCTGGCATTATAAAGAAGTTCTTACTTAGAAAACATTGTATTCTCTTTCTCTCTGGTGCTGAAAATGTCTGCCTCTTTCTGTTTTAATTAATTTTGTAATCTAATACTGAAACCTTGCCAAATTGGTTAGAATAAATAAATTTTACTTATAATAATTGTAGTGTTCAGGTTATATTTTTGCAGTGATGAGTTTATATATTTTGAACAGTCACTAATTCAGCAAAAATAAGTTTTACTTATTATTGTTCATAGTGTTGTAAATCTGTTCTTAAAGCAGCTCAGTGTTAGTTTTTCAAAGATTTCTCTGAAATATATCTTACCCTTTCAGAAACTGCCTTCATAATATTTTATGAATTTTTATAGGTGTCAAGAAATAAAACCAGAAGAAAAAAGTATGATTTTTGTGACAAAATGCCCATGTGATGAGTGTGTACCTTTAATTAAAGGTGCAGGCATAAAACAAATCTATACAGGGGATATAGATGTTGGAAAAAAGAAGGCAGACATCTCTTACATGCGATTTGGAGAACTTCAGGGTATTAGCAAATTTACAGTAAGTAAGATACAAAATTTTTTTCAAGTGTACTTTCTATTATGTTGTTTGGTACCCTGCTTCATGTTTTAAATTAATAATTCGCACCGTTTTAAAGAGTTTCCACAAACTGTTATCATTGAGTTTATTTTTATGTGCAAAAAAACAGTTGCCTATTTACATATATGTTTAGTTTAGGGTCTCTGTCTTATGAATTTACATTTCTATATGTGAGAGTTGTATATTGACCTTACAGATCTTGAATTAGTGGGCCCTTTGATGTACTATCTGGTGGCTTAACAAAAGAAAATCTGTGACCCTCCTCTTCCCTTACCCTTCCTTCTGGCTTGGATAGAATGGTCAACAGAGGCAAAAATAGTTTAAGGTTGCCCAAAAGATGGGGGGACATAAACATGTATACACACGTGCACACATTTTTCAATGGAAAAATCAGAAATGGTTACCAGGGATTTAATATTTGACGTATCAAAAAAGTACTGAGGTAGTTCTTGTAAAACTCAAGTTTAACTCTTTATGCTTTTTTACTATTTAGGTTTTTTCAAGTGTATTTTATTGATTATGCTATTACAGTTGTCCCAATTTTCCCCCTTTGCCCTCTTCTACCCAGTACTGCCCTTCCCTCCAGCAGTCCCCCTCTTAGTTCACACCCATGGGTCATGCATGTAAGTTCTTTGGCTTCTCATTTCCTATATTATCTTAACATCCCCCTGTTTTGTAGCTACCAGTTATGTCTCTTAATCTCTGTACTTTATCCCCCATTCGCCCCCTTCTCCATCCCTTCTCTGAATGATCCCCACATCTATGATTCTGTTCCCATTCTAGTTGTTTGCTTAGTTTGTCTTTGTTTTTTTAGATTCAGTTGTTGATAGTTGTGAGTTTGTTTTCGTTTTAATGGTCATAGTTTTGTTCTTCTTTTCCTTAAATAAGTCCCTTTAACATTTCATGTAGTAATGTTTTGGTGGTGAAATCCTTTAGCTTTACCTTGTCTGGGAAGTACTTTATCTGCCCTTCCATTCTAAATGATAACTTTGCTGGATAGAGTAATCTTGGATTTTCATCACTTTTCATCACTTTGAATACTTCTTGCCAGTCTCTTCTTGCCTGCAAAATTTCTTTTGGGAAATCAGCTCATAGTCTTATGGGAAATCTTTTATAGATTAGCCTCTGCTTTACTCTTGCTACTTTTAAGATTCTCTCTCTTAACCTTTGGCATTTTAATTATGATATGTCTGCATGTGGTCCACTTGGCAACCATCTTGTTTAGGACTCTGTGTGCTTTCTGGACTTCTATGTCTATTTCCTTCACCAAATTAGGGAAGTTTTCTTTCATTATTTTTTGAAATAAGTTTTCAATTTCTTGCCCTTCCTCTTCTTCTGGCATCTCTATGATTCGGATGTTGGCCCATTTGGAAAAGTCTCAGAGTCTTCTTATATTCTCCTTGTTTTTGTGAATTCTTATTTTTTCATTCTGTTCTGATTGAATGTTTATTTCTTCCTTATGTTCCAAATCGGTGGTTTGAATCCTGACTTCCTTCCCTTCACTGTTGGTTCCCTCTGGATTTTTATTTCACTTAGTATAGCCTTCATCTCTTCCCATATGTTTTTGCCATACTCAGTGATTTCTCTGAGCATCCTTATCACCAGTGTTTTGAACTCTGCATCTGATAAATTGGCTCTCTCCATTTAGCTTAGTGTTTTTTTTTTCCTGGGGTTTTGTTCTTTTCTTTCATTTGGGCCATATTTCTTTGTCTTGCCAACTTGAAAGCCTCTCTGTGTTTATTTCTGTGTATTAGGTAGAGCTGCTTTGATTCTGTCTTAACACACCTGTTAAGTTGTAAGGGGCAGAGCCTTAGGTATTTGTCAGGTTGAGCCGTCCTACTTCACTGCTTTTTGGTGCTATGCTGCGGTGAGGAGTCAGAGACAATGACAGCTGCCTGGCTTCTGGAAGCTTGTCTGGCACTTGCCCCTTTTCCAATCATTTCACCCACTTCCCATATGTGACCAGCGCCCTTCTTGCTTCTGCCCTGATGATGATTCCCAGAGTGGGTGGTTTTGTGCACATTCTAGGACTGTGCAGGCCCTTTAAATGGACTCTTATGAGAAACCAGCAGTTTCTTCTACCAGTCCAACCCACACTGATTTTTACAGCTAGAAGTTATGAGGCTTTATCTTTCTGGCATTGGAACTCCAGGCTATGCATCCTGTCCTGGGACTGGGATTGCTGGCTCCCAAGGTATCCCTCCCAATTTTTATCCACAACATGGGAATGTGGGACCACCTGTTCCACTGCACTGTGTCCTTTCCACTGTGGCTCCCTTTTACCACCTCTTATATCTGTCTGGATGAATGTAGCTTCTTTAAATCCTTGATTGTTGGACTTCCATACAGTTCAATTTTGGGGCAGTTCTGGGTGTTTTTGTTTTGAGGTTAGTTGTGATTCTTCTTGTGGTTGTGCAAGGAGTGAAGTGTGTGTATGAATACTTCCATGTTGACTGGAAGTCACTATTAGGTTTTTAAAACTTAATCTTTTTAGAAACAATCACAGATATACATAAAGTTTTGAAAACACTATAAGAAACTTTTTACCAGAAATATTTGAGAATAAGTTGTTGGTATGAAACCAAATCACTCTGTTTTTTTTTAAAGATTTTATTTATTTATTTATTTTTAGAGAGAGGGGAAAGGAGGGAGAGAAAGTGGGAGAGAAGCATCAATGTGTGGTTACCTCTCATGTGCCCCCTACCAGGGACCTGGCCGCAATCCAGGCATGCGCCCTGACTGGGAACCAAACTGGCGACCCTTTGGTTTGTAGGCCATCACTCAATCCATTGCGCCATACCAGCCAGGGCCCAAATCACTCTTAAATACTTTATTGTGTATATTTTCCCACATGACCATAATCCAACCACATATGTCAGGAAATTATCATTGATACCTCACTGCCATTTCATCCAGAGATTCCAGAGTCATCAGTTGTCTCAATAATGTTCTATATAGCAAAAAGGTCCTGTCTGGAATCATATGTTGCTTTTTAACAGTTATTCTGGAATTTAATGTAACATTTATATATTAAAATTTGCAGTGGGTAAAAAGGCCTATAATAGAACTATTTATAAATTTCAACTTTTCATTTCTGTTTTGAGCCAGTGTGCCTGGAATATATATACAGGTAGGCAAAAGTAGGTTTACAGTAGTGAGCACACAAAACAGTTTATTCTTGTATTATTATTTACTTGTTAATTGTTATATTAATAATTTGTATTATTTGTCTTGTTTTTATTATTATTATTGTTGTTGTTATTATTTCATATCCTTACTTATAATTTATCTTTTAGGTAATAGTGACTGGTAATTTAACCTACTTCTGTCCCTCTGTAAAGCATCTAAAGAGATATTTCTATTACCATAATACTTACATTTTTAAAAATATAAGTATTTTAATATAATATAATAGATAATATAATTATATAATATATAATATTATTTAATATAATATAATAACAACATATTATTTAGTTTCTATCCATGTATGAGGTCTCATAAATTTTCATCGTTTTTATTTTTGTCTTGTATTTTATTTATCTCCAGTTTTATTTAAAGTTTATCACTACTTTACAAAGAAAAGGGGGCAGCTCTAAAAGGAGGGAGAGATGAGAAGATACCTCTTTTGTAAAACTAAACAAAAACTTACATCCAAATAAGGAGAAATCTCAACTTCTGTGTTTTTGTTTTCTCTCTCTTCATTCCTTCTGAGGCTGGGAAGAATTTTTCAGATTCTCTTCATAAAGGTTAAGTAACCTAGCATTTCAGGAATGTGTGTGGTGGGTTAAGTGAATTCTGAAATATCTTCTTTATGGGTGGATTTTAGTAGTATTTCAATTATAAAAAGATAAAAGAGATCAGATGAATTTAAGATAGGACAATGGAAGAGAAAGGAACCAGGAAGACAAAGGGAGTAAAGGCTCTCTGAGTAGAGAGCCTACAGAAACACTCAGGAACACACTCACTTGGGTACACATGATTTTTCTGTACTCTTCCTAGTGAATAGTAGCTTTCTACCCTCACTTCTTTTCCCTCATCTCTGTTGGCTTACAATATTATGTAAATAATTTAAACTACCTAGTTAACTAAACACCTAATTTTGTAAATACCACTAACTAACATGATCTTGTATTTGTTCCAAGTTTGAATTTTAATAATTATTATACTTTTATAGTGTCAAAAGTAGTTTAAGAGTATCAATAAATTTGATAATTTTACAAATTAAAGCATATTGCAATTAATTGAAAGAAAAATGTTTGTGTGTTTTTTAGGTATCACCATACACCTTAAGATAAGTGGTTCTGTTCTACAGGGTTATTGCCAGGGTTATAGACTAGGGTTGGGCAATAGTATGTTCAAGAATAGATTTTGCTAGTGTAAATCCACGCCCATTTACTCATAAACTCCTTTAATTTAATAAATGTGAATTTTTCTCTACTAGGTCATATCAGTTTTTATATTATAAAAGTAATATTTGCTCATTGTAGAGGACTAAGAAAATAAAAAATAACTGATATTAGCCCACAACTCATAGATACTATTGTTAAAAAGTTATATTTTATGTGTCATTGAAAATTGTTCAAAAATATTTTTTTTATATTTGTCCTCACCCCAGGACATTGTTTCATTGCTTCTAGAGAGAGAGGGCAAGGGAGTGATGGAAGGTGGGAGAGCAAGGAAGAGAGAGAGAGAAACATTGATGTGAGAGAGAAACATCAAATGGCTACCATCTCTTATGTACCCTAACCAGGGATCAAACCCACAACCGGGGATTGAACCCAAAACCTGGGCATGTGCCCTGACTTAGAATTGAACCTGTGACCTTTTGGTCTATGAGACAAGGCTTCAACCAACTCAGCCACACCAGCCAGGGCTCCAAAAATAATTTTCAATAATTATATATTTCAATTTACAGATATTACTTAGTTAACCATTCTTCTGTTGTTCGACACCTACATTACTTCTGAGTTTTACAGTTGTAAATAGTCTTTGTATGATTATCTTTAAATGTAAAGTCAGGGTTACTAGGGCCTTTTTTCCCCCAAAATTAATAGATATTAGTGGCTTGATGTTTTAAAACATGTCTTTTAGAAAACTTGTCATATCTAACTTCCCATCCTTTATAAGTCTTTTTCCTGGTGCTAAACCTAACCATCCCATTTCTATAGGTGACCGACTAGTTCTTGATGTGCTCCACTTCCAAGGACTTGTATTTCACATGACAAAGTCTTGTGTCTTTGTTCCCCCTTTGAAGCCCATGATATTAGCTTGTTTATCTAATGAACCAACTAACTGATGCTGTGGGAGAAATCTCCCAGATGCTAAACACTTAATTGTGTCTTTCTGGAGATAATAATGCCCTATTGGGATCTTTTTGGTTAAGTCATTAAGTGATTCTGATGATGGGGATTTCTAACCAAGGAAGTAAGGAAGGGATATGCTATGAGATTCTGACTACACTGAGGTTTCTTTATCTGCTGCTTCAGTCTTCTCTGTAATATCTGAGAATCTTTAGTCTTTGCTATTTCTTTGTGAATAGTTAAGATGGAAAGCTAATCAGAGATGTGATGTGATATGATATAATTAATATTGTATATTACATGATAAAACTCTATTAAAAGGTAAGATAATCTTGGCCCTATTTTCATTCTTTAATATCCAGGCCTTCTGTAGTTATTACAAGATGTGTAGGACCTGGAAATAGATTATGAGGTGGTAGAGACTCTGTAGTATTGGGCACAGGTTGACCCAAATTCTAATTCTATTGCTACTGTGTAACCTTGGGCAAGTTGCTACATTTTTTTAGTCTTCCACTTCCTTACCTATAAAATAATATAAATGATCTTTAAACTTCATTTCTTCTCTAAGAATTTTGATTCTGATCCCAGAAGTCTTATCATCCAGGGGCTTTTGGCATCATTAGGGCTTGGTTGGTATAGACATGCTAACTCTTTTTCTTACATTTTTAAAGTTGTTTTAATATTTGAAAGCAGGTGGCAGTATTTAAATAATAGTATTTAATAATACTATTTATTAAAACTTTCATAAATATATAAAGAAAACATTTGTGCTTTTTTGCAGTGGCAACTGAATCCATCAGGAAGTTGTGTTCTTGAACAAAACGAGCCTGAAAGCAAAGAGAGTAAGTATTTATAAGTACTGTATTGAGGTTAACTTTATTGCTGAGAAGAAAAATTACATTGTGAATTTTAATGATCAGGTATTGGGAATTGAGCAGGGATGTCCAACTCATTTTCACTGGGGCCACACCAGCCTTGCAGTTGCCTTCACAGGGCTGAAATAATTTTAGGACTGTATAAATGTAACTACTCCTTAACTGTTAAGGAGTTGAAAGTACATTTGGCCCTTTGAAGGCAACCACGAGGCTGATGTGGCCCCTGGTGAAAATTAGTTTGACACCCTTGTCATAGAGCATACACTTCTTGCAGGTTCAATTTTTGCTATTCAGTTTGCTCATAAGCATCTGTGTGTCTACCATGTGCTAGGTGTGATTGATGGAAAGTGCGGGCTAAGAATTAGTCCTGCAGAATCTGCAGTTTAATTCAAATACTCATAGAAATTGATTTTATAAATTAAATTTATATGAAACAGTAAACAGTGCTCTTCCATACCAAAACACAAGCTTCTTGGATAGTCTGAAAAGAAAACTACATGTAATTAATACAGATGGACCCAAGGCCAAATTATAAAGATATATACATTCTTATTAGAGTAAAGCCACATTTGTTTAGATTTGTCAGAGACTGGAAATGTTCTAGTTATTTGTATAATCTAGTTAATTATCAGTCATCACAGCTTAAATGAACTGCTAGTCTTCAGGACTACCAGTCAAGATCGTGGTGTAGGCAGACATGGCTCACCTCTTTGCACAACTGCATCAAAATGACAAATAAAGTGTAGAACAACCAACACTTAGAAATGTCAGAAATAGGAATTAAATTAAAATGGAATTAAAGAAAGCACATTCATCTGACTGGTAGGAGGGGATCGAATGTGGAAAGGGCTGGTCTCTCACCCATGTGTGGTGGATACAAATTCATGAGGGATATCTTAGGAGTGAGGAGTCCCAGCCCCAACACAGGACCCCCTGCCCAGGGTTCCAGTAGCCACAACTTCTGGTTGCAAAAGCTAGCAGGGATGGAGTCAGTGGTATAAACTGCTGGAACCCCAAGCAATTCCTCTTAAAGAACCCACACACAGATTCACCCATTCATTCATTCCCTCTGAGCTGCAGCAACGGGGTGGCAGCATGAAAGGCACTAGTAGTATACAAAGAGAAACTGAAATGTTTGGCATCAAGGAGAACAGAGGCCATTCTCCCTTTTCTAAACATTGCTCCCCACCCACCCCGAGCCAGCAAGCTAGTGCCATATCTGAAACTCGATCATCCTGGTTACCACTGTTTGCTCTACCCTGGAAATCTCCAGAGACTCCGCCCTACCCAACTTATTAACCCACCCAAGCTGCTTTTCCATTTGAATGGTTGGTTTTGCCTCATGCTTCACAACTTCCTAAATCCTGTCAAACAAGCAACAGCTGGCCTCAGTGAGTACCAGGCCCTAACTAGCAGCAGCCATCTTAGATTCACAGTGTGGCTTTGCCTGGGAATCTCCAAGCCCAGCACAAGTAGGAGCTATTTCAGATTGTTTCAAAGCTCATCCTGCCTGATGTGGCTCAATGGATTGAGTGCTGGCCTGTGAACCAGAGGGTCACTGGTTTGATTGCCAGCCAGGACACATGCCTGGGTTGTGGCCAGGTCCCCAGTAGGGAAAGCAGGAGAGGCAGCCAGACATTTTTTGTTTTGCATCTTTTTATTTATCTTCATTGTATTTTATTCTATTTAATCCCTTTATGTCCCCTTGCCCCCAGCAATCACCACACTGTTGGCCATGTCCATGAGTCCTTTTCCCTTTTTGATCAATCCCTCCACCCCCTAATCTTTCCTCCACCAGCTGTCATCTTCTCTCCATCTACGCATCTTTGTTTTGCTTTTTAGTGCAGTTTGTTCATTAGATTAAAATCATATGGTATTTGTCTTTCTCTGACTGGCTTATTTCACTTAGCATAATGTTCTCCAGGTTCATCCCTGCTGTCACAAAGGGTAAAATTCTTTTTATGACTGAGAAGTGTTCCATTGTATAAATGTACCACAGTTGTTTTTTATGATTTTTATAACTTTGTTTTTATATATTGTATTGATTATGCTATTACAGTTGTCCCATTCCCCACCTTCTTTTTTTCCCATCACCGTCACAGCCCCCTACACACACACACATTCCCTCTACCTTAGTTCACGTCTGTGGGTCGTATATAAAGTTCTTTGGCTTCTCCATTTCCTATACTATTCTTAACCTCCCCTTGTCTATTTTCTACCTACCATTTATGCTACTTATTTCCCATACTTTTCTCCCCTTCTGCCCCTCCCCTGCCCTGCTGATAACCCTCCAACTGATCTCCATTTCTGTGAATCTGTTCCTGTTCTAGTTGTTTGCTTAGTTCATTTTTGTTTTTGGCTTTTTTTTGGTTCAGTTGTTGATAGTCGTGAGTTTGTTGTCATTTTACTGTTCGTATTTTTGATCTTCTTTTTCTTAGATAAGTCACTTTAACATTTCATATAATAAGGGCTTGGTGATGATGAACTCCTTTAACTTGACCTTATGTGAGAAGGACTTTATCTGCCCTTCCATTCGAAATGATAGCTTTGCTGGATAGAGCAATCTTGGATGTACGTCCTTGCCTTTCATGACTTGGAATACTTCTCTCCAGCCCCTTCTTGTCTGTAAGGTTTCTTTTGAGAAATCAGTTGATAGTCTTATGGGAACTCCTTTATAGGTAACTGTCTCCTTTTCTCTTGCTGCTTTTAAGGTTCTCTCCTTATCTTTTATAAAAATTTTACTTATTTTTAGAGAGGGGAAGGGAGTGAGAAAGAGAAGGATAGTAACCTCAGTGTGTGGTTGCCTCTTGTGCACCCCCTACTGGGAACCTGGCCTGCAACCCAGGCATGTATACTGACTGGGAATCAAACCAGCAACACTTCGGTTCACAGGCTGATGCTCAGTCCATTGAGCAACACCATCCAGGACTCTCTCCTTAGTTTTAATCTTGAGTAATGTAATTATGTTGTGCCTTGGTGTGTGCTTCTTTGGGTCCAACTTCTCTGGGACTCTCTGAACTTCCTGGACTTCCTGGAAGTCTATTTCCTTTGCTAGATGGGGAAGTTCTCCTTCCTTATTTTCTCAAATAAGTTTTCAGTTTCTTTGCTCTTCCTTTTCTCCTTCTAGCATGTCTATGATTTGACTGTTGGAACATTTAAAGTTGTCCTGGAGGTTCCTAAGTCTCTCCTCATTTTTTTGAATTCTTATTTCTTCATTCTGTTCTCGCTTAATGTTTCTTTCTTTCTTCTGCCCCAAACCATTGATTTGAGTTCCAGCATCTTTCCTGTAACTGTTGGTTCCCTGTACATTTTTATTTATTTCATTTTTCATAACTTTCACTTTTTCCTCTGTTTTGCAACCATACTAAACCAATTCTGTGAGAATCCTGATTACCAGTGTTTTGAATTGTACATCTGAACTAGTTTGGCTATCTCTTCATCACTTAGTTGTATTTTTTTTGGAGCTTTGATCTATTCTTTCATTTGGACGATATTTTATTGTCTTGGCGCACCTGTTATTTAGTAAGGGGTGGAGCCTTAGGTATTTGCCAGGGAAGGACAGCCCATGTTCCTGCCTTGTAGGGCTGTATGTGGGGGAGGGTTCTGAGAGGCAACAATGCCACTTGTTCAGCTCTCTGCCAGCTCTCAATTCACTTCCACTGCTACCCACAAGCAAGTTGGACCCTTCTGGTGCTGATTCCTGGGTGGGTTATTTTGCAAACATTCTAGGACCCTGTGGGTGTCTCCTATGAGGCTGGGAGTTTCTCCCACTGCCTCAGCCCCCAGAGGTTTTTTTCAATGAAAGGTTTTGAGACTTTACTTCCCCATACTGGAGCCTTGGGTTGCTCAATCTGTCTCACTCCCCATTTGTTCCTCCCAGTTTATCTGCACACAAATGTAGGACTTCCTGATCTGCCAGCCACCTTTTCTCCCTTTCCACCAGCTGCTGCCTTGCCACGAGTCCTCTCTGCCAGGTTGCCCATCTCCACCCCTCCTACCAGTTTGGATGAATGCTTCTTCTTTAACTCCTTGGTTGTCAGACTTCCGTACAGTTTGATCTTCTATCAGTTCTGGTTGTTTTTTATTTTTAAATTTGTTGTTGTCCTTCTTTTGGTTGTGCGAGGAGGCACAGTGTACCTATCTACACCTCCTCTTGGATGGAAGTGGCAACCACACAATGATGTTTCTCTCCATCTCCCCCTCCCTTGCCCTCACTGTAAAAATAAATAAATTAAGTCTTTAAAATATAATAAATAAATAAACCTCAAGTAGGGTGGTCCCAGGGAAAACACAAGTGGGGGCTGATCTTGGCTTGAACCTCCTTGGAAACCCAAGGCCCAGCACACCCAGTGAACAGCTATACCATGTTGGAGCACCACCACCCTGTTCCTGCACTGCACAGCTGATCCCCATGGAGATGTGGAGGTTAGTGCTAAGTGGTTACATCCAATAATTGCAGCTGACTAGCCTGAATAAATCCCTCCCATCACTCTTTCAACATCAATCAAGGCTCAACTACAAGAGGATGGTGTACTCAATCTACACGAAGGGTACACCTGAAGTACCCAGCCTGGGTGATAGGAGAGGCTGTGCCACCGGACCCTACAGGATACTTACTATATTAGGCCACACTATCAAGACACAGAGTTAAAGCAGCCTACCTAATACATAGAAACAAATACAGGGAGGCTGCCATTATGAAAAGACAAAAAAACATGGTCCAAGTGAAAGAACAGATCAAAACTTCAAAAAAAGAGCTAAACAAAATAGAGATAAGAAGTCTAGCAGATTGCAAAGTTCAAAACACTGTTATAAGGATGCTCAAGAAACTTAGTGAGGACCTCAACAGCATAAAAAAGACCTAGTCAGAAACAAAGGATACACTAATTGAGATAAAGAACAATTTACAGGAAAAAAACAGTAGCGTGGATGAAGCTTAGAATGAAATCAATGATATGGAATATAAG